TGCAAGCATAATTCCTTCCAGAAACATGCTAATAATCCAAAATACTTGTATATCAAAGCAAATTTCCCCTTAAGAAATAATGGAAACTCAGGTGATTCATTCCATGACCCAAAAATATTCATATAAAAATTATTACAATACTGTAATATAATACAAAATAATAAAGAAAATACAAAATATAATGAAAAATAAACAAATTAACTTGCACTTACTTTTGAAAACCTTCATGTCTGGTGTGAGGGAGACAAAAGAGGGGAGAGTGATTGTGTAGGATGACTTTCATCATTGCTAACAGAATCACTGCTATCTTTTGGCTCAATGGAATCTTTTTCTGCACAGACGTCATTGTATACACTCCCATGGATGTTGACTACAATACAATATTAAGGAACACTTGTCATATATTGTATTTAATGTAATGGGCAATAAGGCAGCAGAGGAAAGGTTCTACATTTGTAGGCAGCCTGACCTAGAATGAAGCAAAGCAATCCTAAGCTTGATCTTGTATGGAAAAGCAAAGGACTGTCCATAGGTACTTTGAAGGGACAAAAAAAATACACTAATTCCAGTTGTGGGCACCTTCCAATGTTCTGAAAAGTCACTGATTTCTGCCAAAACACCATGGTCTGAGACTGAGCATCCAACATGGGAGACGATCCCCACAATTCCATGGAGACAGAGAGAGAGAGAGAGAGAGAGAGAACCATTGGCTCATGTGATGTTCGGCGTCATGTACATGTATTGCAAGACATTGCTTGTTTATCAAGTTAAAATTTATTAGAAAGTTTGCTCATCTTGCGGAACACTTGCAGAACAAGTTATGCTCAATCCAAGGTTTTACTGTATTTAATTTTTTTTTTTTTGTCTGAGAAGGAGCGCACTTTATTGGGGACAGAGCACTGCACGTGGCCAATAGATGAAGGCAGCCCGGTGGGCATCCTACACATCATGCTCAAAAAGGTACACAGGAGGTTTTGCTAAGAAAGACCACCTGGAACATGGGTTCCTCTGGGGAACTTCCCCAATCTTGTCCCTCCAAGGAGTCGGCACACTCCCGACCATTTCCTTGAAGGCAAATGTGGTAGCTACAGGTGGAGCCCCCGCAGGGGTGCCTTCTTGTTTTTCATAAAGAACATTTTCTTTAGATTTTTTGAAGTCTTCATTTGTTACTTTCATTCTATGTTCTTTCAAACCATCAGACCAGCTTCTGTACAGATTGCCTTGACGTAGGTCCCAGAGAGATCATCTTTGGCCATGATCAATTCATCCAGGGTTACATCATTGGCCAGTGTCATCCTGCTTGTGTGGATCTGAAAGATGTGCTTCTTTGGGCAGGGGGAGCTCGATTGTCCTGTCAATGTGGCCTGGTCTGATAAGTGCTGGATCCAACGTTTCTATTCCGTCTGTGGTCATGATAACTTTCACGTCACCCCTTGAATCAAATTCATTCAACTGGCTCAACAGTTTCAATGAACTCATTGTTCATTGAATTTCTCCCTCACCACCAGAATTTGAGTCTATCTTTTTGTTCCAATGGCATGAATTTCATCAATAAACATGATGGATGGTGCATGTTCTTCCGAAACTCGAAACAATTCTCGAATGAGTTTGGGCCTATCACCTAGGTACCTCTGAATAATTTCAGAGCCAACCACTCTTTTTTAAAAAGTTATTAAAAACAAATTTTTTAAATGTTTATTTTTGAGAGAGAGAAAGAGAAACAGAGTGTGAGTGGGGGAGGGGCAGAGAGAGGGAGAGATACGGAATCCAAAGCAGGCTCCAGGCTCTGAGTGCAGAGCCCAATGAGGGTCTCAAACTTATGACCCACAGGATCATGACCTGAGCCAAAGTCAGATTATGACCTGAGCCAAAGCCAGAGGCTTCACTGACTGAGCCACCCAGGTGCCCCTAGAGCCAACCACTGGTAAGAAAGTGGCTGAGGTTTGTTTGCTACTGCTTTGGCTAATAAGGTTTACCTGTGCCAGGTGGACGATAGAGAATGACCCCTTTGGGAGCTTTATACCCATCTCTTCATAATATTCAGGATGACTGAGGAAGCTCCATAGATTCCTTAATTTTCTGGATTTGGTTGTCCAGTTCCCCAATATCAGCATAGGTTTCCTGGGAGTACCTTTTCTTTCTTTCTTTCTTTCTTTCTTTCTTTCTTTCTTTCTTTCTTTCTTTCTTTCTTTCTTTCTTTCTTTCTTTCTTTCTTTCTTTCTTTCTTTTTAATTTCTTTCCTCTTTCCTTCCTTCCTTCCTTCCTTTCAATTTTTAAATGTTTATTTTAGAGAGAGACAGACAGAGAGTGAGCAGGGGAGGGGCAGAGAGAAAGGGAGACACAGAATCCAAAGCAGGCTCCGGGCTCTGAGCTGTCAGCACAGAGTCTGACACAGGGCTCGAACCAATGAATGGCGAGATCATGACCTGAGCTGAAGTCGGATGCTTAACCGACTGAGCCTTTCCTACCTTCATCTCTGTGGCCAAGAGATCCATGTCATCCATGAGCATCCCTATGATGGCATGCACTGACCTACAAAGAAAAGAATGCTGACGTAGTGTTCTGAGCCCACAGATGCAGACACAATGGCATGATTGTCATCAATAATCTCTTTCAAGGTTCCTACTGACATTGGGGTCCTCCTCCGATCATCCACCTTTGATCTTTCCTCCTCTTGCTTTTCTTCTAAAGGCTTCATTTGTTTCCAATTTCTAATGAATTCTTCCTCCATGAAAAGACAGTCCTTAATTCTGTCTAACTTCAGTAATTTTAACTGGCACTGAGTGTGACATGTCACCAGTGGCAGCTTGCTGAAAGCATCTGGTTCCTTTGTTGTTGTTGTTTTTCTTCTTTTTCCCCACTCTAGATGGTACAGGAGGTTCATATTTCTTTTTCTTATCCTTGTCATCCTTCTTGCCACCTCCAGAGCCATGACCACCACTCTGACTTACACCTGTGTTGCTTGGGCTGCTTGAACTGCCTCTATTAGAAGTGCCCACTGTACTTAATTCTATGGAATTTTATTATATATGTAGGTTTGTTTATCTATAACCACAGTCAAGATATATTTCAAAGATTTTCTCTTTTTCTAATAATTTTATAATTTTACATGTTATATATAAGTTCTACTATATGTTTTTTTAAAATATTTTTTAAAAATTTATTTCTGAGAGAGAGAGAGAGAGAGAGCATGAGCAGGGGAGGGTCAGAGAGAGAGGGAGACACAGAATCCGAAACAGGCTCCAGGCTCTGAGCTGTCAGCACAGAGCCCAATGAGGGGCTTGAACCCATGAACCATGAGATGGTGACCCGACCTGAAGTTGGACGCTCAACCAACTGAGCCACCCAGTTTTATAACGTGAGAGATTTACATTTGAGTTTTTGTTTGCTTATGTGTTTTTGTCTACAGCTGTCCAATTGCTGAAGCATCATTTATTGAAAAGACCATCCTTTTGCATTGAATTGCTTTTGTGCCTTTGTCAAAAGTCAGCTGAGCATATTTGTGTGTGTTGGGGGTGCTATTCCTGATCTTTATGTCTGTTTATGTGCCAATTGATTAAAATCTGTCTTAATTACTGCAGCTATATCATCAGATTTAACTTCAAATAGAGGGACTTTTCTCATTTTATTCTTCTTTCTCAAGAGTGTGTTAGCTATTTTAGGTACTATGCCTTTCTGTATAAATTTTAGAATAAGCTGGTCTAACCTTCCTGGGGCAAAAATCGCATTAAACCTATAGATCAATTTGGCAGTAATTGATCTCTACTAAGTCGACTCTTCTAATACATGAACATATTATGTCTCTATTTAATTTGATTTCTTTTAACTAGCATTTTGTGATTTTCAGCATTCAGATCCTTTTTGTGTTTTGTTAAGTGTATACACAGTATTTCATTTTCTTTATGATAACTATAAGTAATATTGTGTTTTTAATTTGGTTTCCATATAACCTGTATTACTGTATAAAAACATCCTTTTACTTTCAACGTACCTGTGTCATTAAATGTTAACTGAATTTCTTCTCACTTTAACCACACACACACACACACACACACACACACACACAAGCTGGGAGACACAGATACACTGAGAAAATACAACTTAGGAGCTTTGTGCGTCTTGATTACAATGCTGTTTAGATATTTCTGTTGGAAGGGGCAAAATCACATTATAGATTAGATTCCTGGGGCACCTGGGTGGCTCACTCAGTTAGTGTCGGATTCTTGGTTTTAACTCAGGTTATGATCTCACAGTTTGTGGGTTTGAGCCCTGAATCGGGCTCTCCCTTGGCAGCACAGAGCCTGCTTGGGGGGGATTCTCTCTTTCACCCTCCTCCGTCTTGCCCCTCCCCTGCTCTCTCACTCTTTTTCTCAAAATAAATGAACACTAAAAAAAGAAAAGAAAAACTGATCTCCATGAGAATCTTTCGCTGGGGCTTTCAATCACAACTTCATGTGTAAAGAGAAAATCCATGTCCCTCCACTTCCATTCCCAGGGCAAGCTCACTCTCTGACATCCAGTTTCTTTCGGGGCGAGTTTTCTTCTAGGAGTCGGGAGTAGAGGTAAGGAGTAAGGAGCTCAGCTCAAGTCGAGGGATTTCAGAAGGGAAAGGGACAAAACGGGACCGGTCCCAGCTTGGTGTCTTTCCCAGGTTTCCTCAGAAAGACCCTGGGGCCAGGCCTCAGGGAGACAGACAAAGGGCACTCTGTGTAGGTGAGAGGAACCGGGGCAAAGTCGCGGGTCTCGGGAAAGGACTGTCTTTGAAAGTCCCAGGCGTGAGATGGGTGTAAGGGCGGGGAAGCCCAGTCAGTCCCTTACTCCGCGCGCACTGCGCTTCTCCCTCTTCCAACCTGCCAAGCCCTCTTGCCTCAAGACGCGGCTAATGACGCGGCCCCAGTTCGTACTCCCATTGCTAGTCCGGTTTCTAGAGAAGCCAATCAGCGTCACCGCGGTCACTGGCCTGTCCTGGCCACCGACCTGCTAGGACTTATATTCTCTAGACCCCGAGGATGCGGGTCCTCAGGCCCAGAACCCTCCTCCTGCTCCTGTCGGGGGCCCTGGCCGTGACCCAGACCTGCGCGGGTGAGTGGGGTGTCGGGAGGAAAGGGCATCTACGGGACAGGAGCGCGGGGACCATTCGGCGGGGACGCGGGACCCGGGAGAAGGCGCCTGTCCGCCGCCCCCGGGCCAGAACCCTACCCGCCCTGGCCTGTCCTCCCCTTCCCTCCCCGACTCCGCCCTCCTCTCCCCCACTCGGGTCCCCTCCCCTGCCCTCCTGGCCGCCTCCACCTGGGACCCGGGCCCCGCGCCGGGAGGAGGGTCGGGCGGGGTCTCACCCCTCCGCGCCCGCAGGCTCCCACTCCCTGAGGTATTTGGGCACCGCGGTGTCCCGGCCCGGCCGCGGGGAACCCCGGTACTTGGAAGTCGGCTACGTGGACGACACGCAGTTCGTGCGGTTTGACAGCGACGCCCCGAGTCCGAGGACGGAGCCGCGCGTGCAGTGGTTGAAGCGGGAGGGACCGGAGTATTGGGAGCAGGAGACGCGGGGCGCCAAGGACACCGCACAGGCTTTCCGAGTGGGCCTGAACACGTTGCGCGGCTACTACAACCAGAGCGAGGCCGGTGAGCGACGCGGGCCCGGGTCCAGGTCACGACTCCCATCCCCGGGGTTGCCCGAGTCTTTGGGTCCTAACACTCCCCGGAGGCTGCTGGACCCGCCCGTCTCGGGACCCGGGAAAAGCGCGCGGGCACTTTTACTCGCCAGTTTTGGCTGTAAGCCCTGGGGTTCGGGGGCGGGGCGGGGCGGGGCTCCGGGGCGGAGCTGATCGCGTGGGCGGGGCCAGGATCTCACACCATCCAGTGGCTGTCTGCCTGCGAAGTGGGGCCCGATTGGCGCCTCCTCCGAGGATACTGGCAGTTCGCCTACGACGGCGCGGACTACATCGCCCTGAACGAGGACCTGCGCTCCTGGACCGCGGCGGACACGGCGGCGCAGATCACCCGCCGCAAGTGGGAAGAGGCCGGGGCAGCGGAGCACCAGAGGAACGACCTGCAGGTCACGTGCGTCGAGTGGCTCCGGAAGTACCTGGAGAAGGGGAACAAGACGCTGCTGCGCACAGGTACCAGGGGCCGTGCGGCTTCCCACGATTTCCCCTCCAGCTGAGGTGTCCTAAGAGGATAGGAAGAAATGGGATCCACAGCAGGATATGGCCCTCCCCTGGGTCCGGAGACTGACTGCCTGGGTTTTCAGATCCGGTCCCAGAGAGTGGCCCAAAGGGCCTGTCTTTCTCCTAGGGACAGTTAAAGGATACAGTCTCTCCAGGGATGGAGGAGGACACCATTTCTGAAATAATTCATCAGCCTTTCACTTTGGCTCACATGGCTTTGGGAACATTGGGGGATTTTCTTAGGCTTTGTTCTCTGCCCCACACCCCATGTGTCTGGCGTCTGACTTCACCTATTCTGAGTCATTTAGCCTCCAGCCAGGTCTGGACCAGAAATCCCTTTCTTTTCTGTTCTCAGAAACCTGCCTTCTACACTGGGCTGTCTCACCCTAATTCTAGAATTTACAAACAAGAAGAGATTATGTGTCTAGGCTAGTGTCTGGGTTTTTGCTCCTTTCCCCCATTCCAGCTGTCTTGTCCATTCTCAAAATGGCCACATGAGACTTGCCTCAGTGGCCCGAGACAGTTGTAAAATTCCTGAATTTTCTGACCCTTCTCTTCAGACCCCCCGAAGACACACATCACCCACTACCCCACTTCTAAGCATGACATCACCCTGAAGTGCTGGGCCCTGGGTTTCTATCCTGCGGGGATCATCCTGACCTGGCAGCGTGATGGGGAGGACCTGACTCAGGACATGGAGTTTGTAGAGACCAGGCCTTCTGGGGAAGGGACCTTCCAGAAGTGGGCATCTGTGGTGGTGCCTTTGGGAGAGGAGCAGAGATACACGTGCCTCGTGCAGCACGAGGGGCTGCCCAAACCCCTCATGCTGAAATGGGGTAAGGACGGGGTGAGGAGACCTGGGTATGGAGCCAAACGTGGAGAAATTCAGCAGCGTTGAGGCTGAGACCTCGGAGTCAAGACTCTCACTTTATCCTCTCTTCCCAGAGTCCCCTCCTCAGCGCAGCATTCCCATGGTGGGCATTGTTGCTGGGCTGGTTTCCTTTGTGGTCACTGGTGCTGTGGTGGTTGGAGCTGTCATATGGAGGAAGTAGAGCCCAGGTAAGGAAGGAGAGTGCTCTGAGTTTTCTTGTCTTTCTGTAGTGTTTCAAGTCCAGGTAGAAGTCGTCCTGCCTTATTTGTGGGAAGTGCCGTCCACACACATGTGCTTGTCCACTGTGCAGCTCGTTGCTACATTCACTCTGGAGTACAGCTATGTGAGAGTGAAGGGCAAACTTATCACCTTGATGAATGTGGTGATAGAATCTGATTCCCAGCAGTCCCAGATCAGAGAACAAAGTCCTTGGTGAGGACAGACTCCAGGAGACTTGTTGGTCTAGCCCTGACATCTCTTTTCTTCATGTCCCCCTGATCCTGCCATAGGTCTGTAGTTACAGTTCTGGAAACTTCCCTATGGTCCAGGCTATCAGTTTCACCTAGGATCTGGGGCTCTGCCTCCTCCGTGGCATCTCATGTGATATTTTCTTTCCATAGGTGGAAGAAGAAGGAGTTATGCTCAGTCTGCATGTAAGTATGGAGGGGGTGATCCCTGAGACCCTGGGATGGTGTAAACAGGACTCCATGGGGAGCTCACTCACCCCATAGCTACTCCTTTAGTCTCATCTCCTGGGGGTCTCTGACAAGTTCTGTTTGTTTTAACCCAAGTAGTAACAGGGCCCAGGGCTCTCTCCACTGCTAAAAGTGAGACCCTGGAGAGCCTGAAGTGGGGAGGGGAGAGGGGAAAGGGGCTGAGTTTGGGTAATGGGGATTCTTTGAGTAGGATATCTTGAGCATGTGGTGGGCTATTGAGAACATCAGCACTTACATGACTGACCTGACTTTGTTCACGATTATTTTCTTCCACAGTGTGAGCCAGCTGCCTCGGGGGACTGAGTGATGCAAGATTTGTTCACTTTCCCACTTTGTGAACAATGCCCCTGATTTCTCTTTTTGCAAAGGGCATCTGCATGTGTCCTTGTTCCAAATAACATAAAGTAAGGAGGTGGGGAGACTACCGCCCCCCCGACCCCATCCCACAGTGACCTCGGTTCTCTTTCCTCATCTGCTTTTATGATCCAGCAGAGGGAGAGTGGGCCTCTCCATCCCTGTCTTTCCTTTATGTTTCACTGAGTCACAACTTCTTGCACATAGGACTCTGCATGTGAATTTGTTTTTCCAGTTCTTGTCATGAGGAGTTGATCGATTAAAGGAGAAGATTTCTAAAGTTTGAGAGAGGAAATAAATGGAAGCCCTGAGAACCTCCCAGAATCTGCCAGTTTGGTGTGCTGAGTCTGCTCTGGGTGAGGACAGGAGAAAGCTGTGAGAAGCCTCATGGCCACTTAGTGCAGCAAGGGTGTGACATGGTCTCTCCTCAGCTGGGGAATCTCTCTGCTCTTTTGTCTTTGTCCCTTCAGTAGAACCTGCTCTTCCAGGACCTGTGATCACCCAGGGTATCACCTGGGTATCTGGATATCACCCACACCTTGTCCTGCCTCCAGGACTGTGGCAACAAGACGTTAGTGGCAGGGTCTGCTGAGGCTCAGGCGCAGTCGGGCCCTCAGCCCCGTCTTTAGGTGTTTATTTGTTGTTTCTTTGTTTCTGTCTGTGTCAGCAGGAGGAGGTGTTTGGCCTGTCGACGACGTCTGCACAAGGCCCTGGGTGGCCCTGGGCACAGGAATCTGGAGTATCAAGAGGTTATTTTCGGTCTCATTCAGGTCTTGCCCTCCTTCTCGGGCTTGATTGTTCTTCCCTTCTTTTCCCCAGTCTTCTAAGAGGAACAGATTCTGGAATTGGCAGACAAGAAGCATGCCATAATTTCTTATTTTAAATTAGTTCTTGTTTTCTTTCCATCTTCTGCTCGCCTACCCTCTGCCCTGGTGATCCTGGTGCTGCCTCCAACTCAAAGTCATGGAGGTATGAAGCAGAGTCTCCTTAGATTTATATTTGGTTGGGAAATAGCACCTGTGAGTTGAGGATAGTTGTTTTTGAAAATGGGCATATACTTGGTGTGCAGGGGAGTTGGTGTGAGAGCGGGGATGGGAGGGGGAGGCGCTGCTGTGAGAGGAACAGGGGGCCACTGATGGCAGCGCGAAGGGTGGCTGTGCTGTAGCTGCCACAGGGCTGTCATGGTCTGAGGCTACATTAGTAAAGATACTATCTCCAGATTAGGGAGGTGCTCTACACGGATCGCTCCTTCACTGTGTATGATGTGTGCAAGATATATGACACTCTTTGTTGCATCTGGGAAACACGATTGAAGTTTCCGTGTTTATGACAAGGGGCTGCTGCTGGTCTTCATTTCATGCTTTCAGTAGCAAGAATGTAGATGCAGATTCTCACATGGCTGGGCATCGGCCTCACTTGTGGGGCTTGTTAAATAAGGGACTCCTTGATCTTGTGCCTAATACCCTGAGTCTGTGGGTCTGGGGAGAGGCCTGTGAGAAGAGCAGCCGGTGTGGGGAGGGGCTTTAAAACCACATCTAAATGTGGTTGGGTTGTTTTTTTTTTTAATCTTTGGAGAGGAAAGGGAGGACATGTGTTGTCAGTATGAGGTGTGGTGTTGTGAGATATGTGTCGTTGGATCCTGGGGTGTGGTCGGGTGGGAGGACTAGGGAGTGGTTTGCCGTTCAGTGTGACAAACACCTCAGAATGCCTGCTCTCTGCAACTACTCCCCTGACAGATTTTTCAGAGCAAATAATGGAATCTAACCTTGGTTGAACTTAAGACAAAAGGCACTGTATACGCACACATTTACATTTTATATGCACATAATGTATTATTTTGCGGAAGATCATAGAACGGGCTTCGGCGACACAGCCAGGAACAGAGTCCACAAGTGCACGTTAGCGTGGGTCTCACACAGGAACCGCGGCATCTGCTGCTGGGCACAGACGTCACAGCTCACACCGCTGCCTCCGTTGTAGCAGGACACCGGCCCCTGCGGCTAGGACTGACATCGCTGCTGGGTGGGACTGGGTGGCACACTGCCACTCACGCCGCCTGTGCAAGTGCATTCTGCGCAATTGCACCTTCTTGTTGTCACCAGGTCCAGCATGTGCTCACCTGCCTGGCAGAGCCTCATGCCGTGTCTAACTGGAAGGATGTTGGGACAACAGGTCCTTCCTCTTCTATGGAGAGAGGCGGTGTCTTCCAGAGACTCTAACTGTGGAATTCTCCTAATGTAGGAAGGCCGATCCAGTGCTGGGGGTGAGCGGTGGAGAAGTAACAGCTAATCGCCATGCTGGGAGCACAGACCTGAGGCTGCAGCTTGATCTTGTGCTGTGCAGGCCCTCAGGTTCGGCTGGAGGAGCAAGTGTCTAGTATGACATCTCTCTTCTCATTCCCTTGATGCTATGTGATTGGACGCAGCTTTGTCCACTCCAGTTTACGCTCACAAATGAGTGCAGTGGCGTTGTGGGCTGGTGAAATGATTGCTCAAAATGTGTTTGCCCAGCCTTTGTCTCTTGCAAGGATGAGAACACCCGAGTCTGTAAGACTTCAGGGGGTCTCTGTGTGCACCGATGTGTCATGTTAGTGTTTATATTTCCCTGTGCATGGAAATACTCTGGGGAGAGAATCTCTAACATTTGTCAGCTTTTATGACCCTTGCAAAGGACTGAAAAATCAACCAGCCAGAAAACCCAAATCACCAGCCTGGTTTTCCAGTGTAGCCATAGCATCCCTCAAATTGAAATGTTAACAGCAACTCAACTGAGAAAATTTATTTTATTTTATTTTTATTTTGGAGAGAAGTAAAGAGGGTGCAAGTGACAGAGGGGCAGAGAGACAGAATCTCTTGAAGGACAGAGCGAAAGAGAGAGAGAGAGAGACAGAAAGAGAGAAGTGGGGCTCAGGCTCCGTGCTCATCCAAAGTGGGGCTTCAGCTCACCCGATGTGGGACTCAAACTCACGAACCATGAAATCACGACCTGAGCTGAAGTCAGATGCTAAACAACTGAGCTACCCAGGCGCCCTCAACTGAGAAAATTTAAAGGTCAAATTGACTTTATTCAACTATTCATGAACTGAGAGGCCTCCCAGCTAGTAAATAGAAAGGAGAAACGGAGCGCCTGGGTGGCTCAGTCCATTAAGTGTCCTACTTCAGCTCAGGTCATGACCTCATGGTTCAGTTTGTGAGTTTGAACCTCATGTCGGGCTCTGTGCTGCCAGCTCAGAGCCTGGAGCCTGCTTCGGATTCTGTGTCTCCCTCTCTGCCCCTCTCCCATTCACGCTCTGTCTCTCAAAAATAAATAAACATTTAAAAAAATTAAAAGAGGACTCTTCCAGCTGTAGAAAAGAAAGGATTTTAAAGTCAGAGTGAAAGGGAAAAAGGAAATTATTAGTAATTTAAAAGTACAATTAAAAGCACATTGTTTTAAGCAAGGTGGCCCTCCTAAGCGGAAAGGAAGTGGTCTTTCAGTGGTTTACCTACTTGTGCTGAGCAGGAAATTCCAGGTTGGCTTAATACTTACTTAGGTTAAGTGTTAAGATCTTGGTGGCATTTAGCATAAGTGACTTCATTTTGGGCCTGCTGTCTCCCTTTTAACAGGACCAGAACAGCTGGTAGCAGATGGAAGGACATGATCTAAATGCTTACGCTTTGCTTATCCTTTGCTCCCGGATAAGATGAAGTACAGGTTTACTTGCTTGCTCTTCCTCTAAATTTCTCCTTGTGGAGTGGTGAGGGTTTTTTCCTCCCTCGACCAATTCTCTGATTCCCTGTCACCAACTGGGTGTCCTCCAATTCAATTCATCTGTCTTTTTTTTTTTTTAATATTTATTTTTGAGAGAGAAAGAAACAAAGCACGAGAGGAAGAGGTACAGAGAGAGAGGGAGACACAGAATCCGAAGCAGGTTCCAGGCTCTGAGCTGTCAGCACAAAGCCCAATGTGGGGCTTGAACTCATAAGATGCAAAATCATGACCTGAGCCAAAGTTGGGCACTTAGCTGCCTGAGCCACCCCGGCGCCCCAAATTCAATTCATTTCAATTCTGACACTGTCGGCCTGGAGTTAGCATGAGACCTACAGGTGTTAAAACTCTTCCTACAAGATTGCCCTCACTTCACAGGCACATCTCAACTGTTAGGTTCCCATGTCACCTGCACTTTTGTTCTACTTGGCTACAAAGATGGGAGTACTCTCAAAGAACTAGGAAAATTCTATGCTTATTATTGTGATTTATTATAAAGACACACATGAGCAGCCAGATGAAGAGGGACATGAGTGTGGGAGTGTGAAGGTCCCAGTGCAGGAGCCTCTGTCACCGTGGGGTTGGCATGTGCCACCCTCTGAGCATGTGGATGTGTTCACCATTTCAGAAGCTCTGTGAGCTCTATCATTTAGAAGGTTTTATGGAAGATTCATGATATAGATGCACTTGTTTCAATCACTGGCCATTGATGATTAAAGTCAACCTCCAGCACCTCTCCCCAAAGGTCGGGGGTGGTGGTGAGGCTGAAGTTGCCAACTCTCTAATCATGGCTTGGTCTTTCTGGTCACCAGCTCCCAACCTGAAGCTATCTAGGCCCCTCAGCCAAGTCATCTCATTAGCATACCAGAAACACTCTTATCATTCAGGAGATCCCAAGAGTTTGGGGAAGTCTGTGCCAGGAACCAGGGACAAAGACCAAATATTTTTATTCTAACACAGGCCACCCCCTGGTCTTTGACTATAGGTCCCTTGTTGCAACAGGTGAAAAGATGCTGGCACACTACTAAAGTTCCATTCAGTCAGTAACAATTAGCCCATCATCCTGTATGATAATGTCTACCAGGATTGCTTAGGTGTTCTGGTTCCATTCAGTCTCGTCAGGTTCCAGAAGCAGGAATGGGGTCACAGCATATGGCTTCCTCTCTCAGGCATCTGGTATAATCGAGCTAAGAGGCAGTGTCATCTCTTGCTCACACCTCTTGGGAGGTGTTAATGTAAATTGGATTTTCCTCATTATGTAATTAATTTATCCATTCCTTTACCCTCAGCTGCTGTCTCTACTTCTCTCCATTTATACCCAACTTTCTGCCATTGGAAGGAACATTATGTGTAGCTGCTGTGCTGGTCTAGACTGCAGGCAGCAATACTAGTCTGGCAAGTCCCTCCTCCCCTATCTTCTCTCATCTGTAGAGGGGAGGGTCACACCTGGACAGAACTGGTGGGCTAACTGACCACTAGGCAGT